CTCGCCGTAGCGGAAACGAAACTTTTAGCGCGATGTAACTGCGCGAGGAGGAGCTTCCTCCTCGCGCGAGCGTTTTACTGGGTAACGGTGAACTCTTTCGGTCTATTTACTAAAACCTCTCACGGCGATAACCGCCTGGCAGTCGGCGACAGTAAGCAAGTGCCGCCAATGACTCCCCACGGCGAGCGAGTCGTTTGCATACGCCGCGCGTAAAGCCGCTTGTAAATGCGCGGAAGTCGTATCCTATCGCCATTTCTAAATGGATTAGCCATTAATTAACGGTAGCATTAGACGGTTGCGTTTAGCAGAAAAACGAACGCTAGCGCTAAAAAAAAAAACATCTCGACGGGCGTCTCCGAGATTGATCCCATCTTCCCGGCTCGTTTATCACGAAACGTGAGGAGACGCTCGGCGAAAGGGAAAGAGGAAATTCCCCGAGGGTGCGGGATTCCGGTAGAGTGCTCGCGAGGACGGAGAAGTGCGCCGCCGGGAACGAAAAACCTCGCCGGAGCCTCATAAATCCCGGGTCCTTGCCGCTGGGGGCCAAGTTCGGCGGAAAATCGTGAGCGGGGGGTCGAGGTGCGAGGAGGGCAGACGACGGCTTTGGCGAGCCGTCGGTTTTAAGGGCCAAGGGACGGCCACAGCTGGAGGGAGTATTGATCGTTTACCTCGCCGGAGAGACGTGAGAGTGGATCCTTGTTGTTGGAGCTGATTCATATAAATTGCATTCTCGACAAAAAGAAGGATTCTCTGGAGCGTTGTAGCGATATCGAACGGAAATATCCATCTCGACGATTTGAAAGCAGATTCTTATTGGCTAGGATTTCTTTCGAGATCTTATTTAGTTGCTGACACTCGAGTCATAAAATTCGTTTGCCATAAGAAAAACTGGTTCGTATATTAAATCGATATTGTTTCTAGGTCGTGTCGTATTTCCTTATTATATAAATATTTGAAGACGCGGAATGACGTGGTCAGACAATGTCAATTTGATGTATATAGATCAATTTTATGTGTATCGGAAAACCATTTGCTGCCTTAAGCGGACAGCCAGTCGTTGACCTGGCTAATTTTAATTTTAGCAGATCACTTTAGCTGTCCAATTAAGACTGACAGTTGATGAAATATTCATTGCGGCCGCGCCTAGTTGAAGTGGACGAGAATAGCGAATTTAATAATTTGTTACTCCCTATCGCGTTTATCTTTTTACGTCGTTTCTCTCGCAGTAAATCTATTATTTGTAACGAATTCCTGGAGAATTACTCGAGATATCCATTAGTTCCATGAAATCTCGCGATTGAGAAAATGAAAGGACGACAGCCGAAGTGTAAAATTATAATAACGTTCGATGCTCCCAGAGAGAAAAGGGCGAGAAGTCGGGAGGACTATCGAGGTGGGCGCATCCCACGGGGGGAAAAAGATCGGTGTATCGTTAACTCCGGTATCGTAATAGTTCCCGCATATAGCTTTTTGCATTATCACCCCCACCGTCCTTGCGCTCGCCTCCTCCCTGCTGCTGTCTGTGCAGCTGTTTCCCCTACCGTTCTTCCCTACCTCTCCCGACTTCTCTTTCTCCTCTCTTCTCCGTCGTCCACCGCGACGATATCGAACCGCGGCTCGTCGCCGTAGTGCGAGGTGCGCACGCGTTCCCTCTGTATATCCCCTCGCGGACGGTGTCCTTCGCCGATCCTGATTCTGTACTGTCTACCTCGCCGGTGACCGCCGCAGGTCACTCCGGCGTCGTGGCCCCGTCCGGAACGGTGTCGAATCTCTCGCGCGAGGGCGGCGGGGACGGCTTTCCTCGTGTCGTCGCGAGGAAGTTCCTTCTTCGACGACGAGGGGATCGTCGGGAAGGTTCCTACAGATGCGACGCCCAACGAGCGGATGAGCTGCCTCGCGTCTCTCGTGCGACGAACGCTGGTCTCCTCGAACGCGAAGTGAAGTTCTCCCTCCGCGAAAAAAAAAAATCCGCTCGACGTGCGTGTGTGAGATTCAGTGAATCGTGGGACAAGTCACGAGGCACTCTCTCGCTTCTCGCGGCGGGTGTCGACGATTCCGCGCCGGGAAGTGCGCGAATCCTTGATCCCGACCTGGCTGCGAAATTATGCGAGGGGACGTAGCGTGACGTACGTTGCGTTCGGCCGAGTCCAGGTACAGAGAAGAGGCGAAGCTCTCTCTCTCTCTCTCTTTCGGCCTTCGGCGCCGAGTGAGTCCTTATTCTCCTTTGTTCGCGAATCGGTTACCGCGCCGTGCGCTCTTGTTGGCCCTTATCGCCTCTTCCCAGCGTCGGACGCTGTCACGTGAATCTTCCGAGATAGTGTACGACGATGCGACCCACGGTTGTGCACCGAGGATCACGCGACGAGGCCGCGGTCGTATATTTAACGTGGCATTAAGATTCGCGGTTTATTAATAGTCACACATAAAATATGAACCTCTCCGGGAGTCTCTGCGAGCGAATCGATTAATCGAATTTGCAGAAATCCGCGCTCACGCTTTCGCGCCGCTTCGTAGATCGGCCGAAATTGGGCCGCGCGGAAGCGCCGATTAATTTAACTCGCGGCCGGGCCGCCTGCTTTCCCCTCTGGGGAATAAAAACAATAAATTATTTGCGAATTTATTAAAATTGATATATTCATACCCCGGTCTTGCTTGCGAAATTGGAAATAAAATAACGCGCTCGGAATATAATCGTTCGATTCGACGAAACGTGCGCTCTCGCAGAAAAATAGCAGGCGCTCCCCGGTAGAGATTTCGGTAAGGATAACTTTCACTCGACAGGATGACTCAACTCCTTCCGAGTCTGAGATTGTTATGAAAATGAAGAGGAAAAAAAAGAACGGTATAGGAAAGAACGGTATAAGGCGGGTAACGAGCGAATTACCGGTGGCGGGGATTACGTTGGAGACGCGATAAATTACGAAGGGAATTGGGAGGATACGCGGCCGACGCGAAATAAATAAATTACTTACTCCTCGTTTCGAGTAACTCTAATTAAACAGCGGCGTAATTTTCCGACGTGCTTAACGACCGGCGCGCTTCGATAATTTACAACGCAAATAAAACTCGGCGGCGTATATCGAAAGGAAGTGAAAAAAATAAAAAATAAAAAAACTCGTTAGTCAACCCGCAAAATATTGCGTTACCGCTATCCGAGGCGGCGATCTAGATCGATCTGTGTATATCGCGTTCACTCGGATTTCTATTTTTCTCTTTTTTTTTCTCCTTCCTGCACGGGAGGGGACCGCCCCTTCCCTCCCGCCGTTCACCTGTCCGTCGAGTCCGCCGGGTCTGCGGGTTTCCGTTTACGTTTACGTTTATCTCGTTTTGCAGCCTCACGTTCGCGATGTCATCTCGGCGAGCGGAGCGTAACGCGGAGCAACCCCCCCGCGCGCCGCGGCCGTGCGATTGCGCTGGGGAAACCGCACGAATTCGCACGTAACTGATTCGCGGTAACTCGGCGCGAGGAGATTGCGAAACGCACACGCGGAACGCGTGTAATTCGGCGCGCGCGTGTAAGCCGCCCGTGCGTCTCGGGAAAGTGACCGCGGCAACTGCATGTCTACCGAATTACTCATCGTACCTACTCCGCCTTGGCTCTCCCCGCGCCGAGGCGCCCCTTCGCCTTCTCTCACCCCGGTCCGCGCGCGTGTTTTCCCTCTTCTCTCGCCCTCCCTGCCTCCCGTCGGGAGAGCTGTAAAACCGCGACGCATTCCGTCCCGTCCAGCTAAATATGCCCGTCCGTTCTCCGTCCTCTATTTACATTGTCCCATTCCGACGGGTGACAAGCTCACCGGCTGACTGTCACGTTTATATAGCGATACGATAAACGCGAGCGCGCTCGATTGGTCGCCGCGCGTCGAAGGATCCCGCGAGGAAGGATCTGCAAGAGGAAACCGACGAGGATCCTCCTTCGCGATCTGCTCGAAGCCATCGAGAATTCCCGAAGAAGATTCGACGGTGTTCTCGCACTGAACGCTCGCCGAGGGGCTTGACGAAGCCGCGTTCGGCTTGGTGAACGCGCGACGGCACCAGAGCGGCCGATGACCCGCGCGCGATCGCCGAGAGGCGACTGACGATCCGGTTGAGGGCACCGGACGAGGAGGATGGCATCCTCGTCGTCCGAGAACGCGAAGGGCGCGCGGAGGCGCGTCACCGGCCTGCCGACGCGCGTTCGCGTCCCAGCGAACCTGGAGAACGGCACCGGCGGCGGCGGCGGCATCGCCGAGGATGGACGCGACGACTCCGGCCTCTCGTCCGAGAGCTCGACGCCGACGAACGGATCGCCACCGCCGCGGCAGCCCAGGGCGCCGAGCAACGGCCAGATCACCTCCACGGGCATCGGCGCCGCCACCTCCTCCTCCTCCTCCGCCGCCGCCGCCGCGGCGGCATCCTCGCGAGCCAAGAATAGTTCCGGAAGGTAGTGCCTCTCGCTCTTGCCGCTCCCCTCGGGAAGATATTTCCGAGTAGCGTAGGAGAGATATAAGAGATAGCGTGGAAGCGCGTAGGAGATTAGGTGCCGCGCACGCTCGTTTTCTTTTTTTTCCCCTCTTTCTTTCTTCCATTATTGGGATAGCGTGACTGCGATGAGAATTATGATAATGCGCGAATACGCTGCTTCCTGTTGGATCCCCGCTGGTTTACATTTGCGCGCGGATAGCTCTCGCTGTTTATTATTTATGTACGACACGTATAATTCTCCGCTTCTACATATTATTTATCTCTCCATGTGATATGATTAATTATCGTTCCGTTCGAGTCATCATGCTCCTCTCTAGTCTATTTTAGAGAATGACATGGGTGATAGATGAAGATAACGGATGAATTAATCAGATAACGTCTATATATGCATATAGTTAGTAGTCCATTTTTAGGATTTCCATATAATTGCTGGAGAACCGATTCTGCCCCGCTGCTCCTTCTCTAAAAGTTCAAGGAGAGCTGCCGGCAATTAAACCGCAAACGTGAAATTACACGGATTTTCGCTGTTCTTGTTTCAGAATCGGAAGTGACAGGATGTCAAGGCTGTTACGCAGCAGATCGGGAACGGAATCGCCGCGTTCGTTAGACAACATGCGCAACCGTCAAGTTTCTAGTCCTATGAGAACGTCGGGAAGCGTAAGTCAACGATATCCGTTCGAACTCGATTTGTCGGAAAGTAATGTTTTACCTGATATCGCGTGTCCCCGCGCTGACATGTCGCAGGTGTCATCCTCGTGCGTCGATTCCGGTGACGAGGCCAGCCTCAGGATAGACCGCGGCACGTACCAGTACATGTTCCAGGACATCGTCTCCATAAAGACGATGCTCTTGAAGCTCAAGCGGGTCCTTCAGGAGGTACGGCGAATGCATATAACGCACGCTTTGGCTCTTTACCTCGCCGAGAGAGGCTGTGTGCACGTCGCAATCGCTTCTTGCGATCGTCCCCCCGTAAATGTGTTTCACGCGCGTTTTACGCGCGCGATGCCGAGGCGACTTGGAGTTCCATCTCGAAGCGCGCCTTCGGCTTCGCGCCGCACGCACGTTTTATCCGACCGCAAGCATTCCGTTCCGTTATCCTACGTACACACGGTGCGTTTATGTTTTTCATTTTTTTTTTGTCCATTTTATTAACACGATCTTTTTTATTTTTCATTTTTGTCATTGTCCTTCCTGATTTTGCGTCTCAAGTCAGGAGAGAACGATTTGACGAGGGTACGTTGATTTTTCTTTACATGCACATTTATCATTGATTTACATCACTTTTTTTGCATGCTTGTCTGTGTATTTATTTATTTGTATAATGTATCACATATATTTTTTTAATAATGTATCATACAATATGTTTTTTTTCACCTACACGGGACCGAGTAAAAATTGTATGTGTATGAAAGTCGCAATTATGAAAGAAAGAAATATGTGAAAATTATAGAAAACAAATGTGAAAGTTGTGTCAGTTGCTGATTACCAGCAGTAGACTTTAATTCTCACTGTAATACTATTTTACTCGATCTCGGCGGTTGATTTGTGAGAATAAAATTATCGTCAACGTTAAAGATAGATGTACAACCTGCTAACATCTGATATTGATTTTTAGACAGAAACTCTCAACCCATTCGATAATCCGAAGGTGAGTGTCTGTAGCTTCTATTGAAAAAGCTTGCTCAGAAAATAGAACTAAAACAGTAACTTGAACTTTTTTTTAAATTCTGCTCAATTGAAGATGACGTTGAGTTAAACGAGAAAGAAGGGAGAAACAGAAATGCGGGAAATAAAATATGCATTTTAACATTGCACTTTTATTCAGTGAATATTAATGCAGTAAATGTAGCGCGATAAATAAGCGATAAACACATAGTTAACATTAGTAATAAAATACAGAAACATAAATATATATACGCTTCACGGGAAAGTAGAACAGTAATGATAATAATAGCAAATAAGATAGCAAAAATGACGTACTTATTATCGTCGCAGAATGGTCTCTTCTGTAACCTGAACGAGGGTGGAAGTAGCACGACAGACGTGAGCACATCACCGGGTAGTGGCGGTAGTAGTATCGCGGACGAACTGGCGGATATGAGGCGGCAGGTGGTGTTCCTGCAGGGCCAGGTGGAGGACCGGGATCGTACGATACAAGTGCGGGATCGTACCATCGAGCTACTTGAGGTAAATAACGAGGTAAAGCCCACTAGCGATTAACAGTACCCCTCTGCACCGCGAAAAGCTCGTCCCGACGACGGAGGTCTGAGTACCGGTAAATTCGTCCTCTTCATCGAGCGAGGCGAATTACATCTGGATATTGACGTCGAATATTGAATATCTTCGCAGGTCCAGGTGTCGAAGCTCCAGGGACCTAAGAACGGCGACGCTCAGAGCTGTGCTTTGCCGACGCGCAACAACAACGTCTCCTCCGGGGACACGTGTAACGCCACCACGCAAACGGAGAAGGTATCGCTTAATTTCTCACCGCGATCGAATCTCTCAATTCCTTTATCGTATACCTCGCGTCGCTCTGATTTCCATCTTCGTATCGCTACAGTCGTAATAATCGCTTTTGTTTCGCGATTCGTTAGCACCATTAATGTTATCTTATCGCCGCGCTCTCGATTAAAAGGAAATTGTTTTGATTGCGATTGTAGACACGTCCAGTGTCGGCGGGACCCTCGCTCCTACAGTCACTCCCGCAGGATGGTGTCATGGGGCCTCTCGTTAGGTGAGAATTTATCTTTTCTTAATAATTATTCTTATACACACTTAATTTCTAATATTCACAATCGTCATTCGACTTACATTATTTCTTGTAATTAACATTGGTCATCGAAAGTTACACGTTTACGCGAATTACGCTTGTATCACTGACACAATCGCGTTTTAAGTATTTTTCTCTATCATATGCGTCACAAATAATAATGTTCTTTTTGCTGCTCTGGTCCCGCCCTTTGCTCGGGTGATTCTGCGCGATGCAGCTTCAGGATCGGGAAGGTAGAGTGCGTCAGTCTGTGTGATTTGCTATTGGGATATGTGCTCCTCTCTGCATTTAACGCCCTCATATTCATGCACCTATTTTATTTTCGTGCCACTTGTTTGACAATCCGTTATTAACAATCGCGTTCACATTTTTTTGCATGGGATCGAATAATCTGACTTCTCATTTGCTTCGTAATTCTCGAGTCAAATCCTGCCAGAACAGGATTATCAAATTTATTTTAAGCTACTAATTTGTCATAACAGCTTAATGAATATGATTATTTTATGAAATATAGCAGTTTTATATATATATTGTTATATGTTTATGCATCGTATTTGTAACAATGACAATTGACTGAAACGCCACAGAATTGTAACGTAAATTGTTTTTTTTTTTTTACATGTCATTTCTTGTGTTCAGCTTCATGTCATGTCTCCGATCGGTTTCATTTTTTATTTGCGAAAGAAAATGATAGATCGATTGCATTTCGATCGAAAGCCTAATGGTCGAAGAGAGCCTAATCCTTGTAACTTAGAAAATATCTGTAATCATTGGAATGTAAAGAAAAGAAATTATAGATTATTGTGCTTGCCATTCGCATTTATGAAACCAACGTTCCTGGCATGTTGTAAAAACATAGTCCCCGTTTTCGTTTCGAACGTTAATGTGATAAATGACACTCCCCAACTCCTTTGCGATGAGATACTCGATTTACAATCCGTAATGTTTCACGCTGCCTTGAATAGCCATGTGCGGTGAGTCTTGAATCTTCTTTTTTTTTTTTCTTTCGATCGACTTAAAATTCTCACTTGAATGCGAAACTTTTACGTCACATCGTTCTCCATATCCGCGATCCTATTTCTCACATAACAACTTCTCGATTGCAGTTGGAGTGACTCGTCGGACCGTCAGCGACCATCACTGCTCTCCGAGCTTAACTCCGCCGGCAGCCACCGCAAGCCAATCGAACGTTTACCTCATACGCTAAGACTCCGTCAGGAACACACCCCGACGCGTCGCGTTAGCGCGCACGCGAGGAGACACTCGTCCGAATGCGTGTCTGGCTCGGCCGTCAGGCCGAAGGACTGCGCGAAGTCGCCGTGCGACATGAACGATGCGGAGCAACGTGACACCAAGATTGAAGGAAACACGGTCAAGTCCCTCATTCCGACACCTAGGAAACTGCGGCTTTAACGACACGCCGATTTATATTAATTCTTCTTTGCATCTAGCAACGTTTCGTTTCGCTCGGGACGTCCGCATCGTCGAAGTACGTAGAAAACTCTTGTAAGACAGACTGATCACCTCACGGGCAAATCATTCAATTAACGTGAAACTTTTATGATTTTTCATTCAGTAAACCTAAATATCTAAATCGAGAACGAGTCCACAGACCGTTCTAGATAATAATTAACTTATAAGTTGCAATAGAACGATCGCTGGATCGTACATCTACCGGAAAGAATTTAATCTGTGTAACTATTCGAATTGGGTTTTTCACCAGAAAATGTGTTCGACCGATTCGGACGTCCAAGACATCGTAAAACAATCTTTCGTTCTATCTCGTACTCATTAACTCACTGCGCGGCATCACGTTCACGTTCCACATACATTACGTGGTATAAACGGTGTCGTCTTTATGCGCTCGTCTGATACAATTCGCCGTTGTATTTATGTAACGCGGTCGCACGAAACCATCTATTCCCGAGCGAATATATTTCGGACGGCGTGTATAATTCGCACCTGCGCGCGTCATGAGTACGGGGGTGTGCACTTACGTTAATGTCAACGTTAATGATAAATTTCATTTCCCCACTTAAACGTGATCTCAAGTGCAAAATTAGGGATTAACGAATTATCTGCTTGTGATTAAATCGCGATCGCGACTTTATCTGCATATCTCTCGGGCGATTGGTTTGGGACCTGCGCTTCGTACATGCGTGGCATCTTCCTCCAGCACGATCATATCTTGGAAACGGAAGTCCTATATGTACGTTTTTTAGTTCGAATGAAAAAAAAATCTTAATTGCAAATATTTATCAAGTGCAAGTAAACTTTTGTAATATATATATAATTTATTGTAAATATGAACGCAAGAAATTAATTTTAAGCGTAATGTACAATTGCAAGAAAATTGATCTAATCTTACGAGAAGAAGTGCTGAAATTCAGAATCCTTCGTTTCCTTTGGACGCAAACGTACGTAACGTCTCAGAACTTATAATCCCTATGTACATATTGAAATCTGTTTTCTCGAGTAAGAGAGGTTTTCTAAATACACATTATTTATAAACTATGCATTTATCAGCAAATTTTCTCTTTTTTTAATCGCTGTGACCCGACGAAAATTAGACGCAGCCGATCATTGTCGATAATATCACAAAAAACGTTTCGTGTTGTGATTCATTTATCATCGTCGTTCAAAGAGTACCGCAAGTACGTTTCGTATAATTTTGAGAGAGTCGCACGAATGTAGCTTCAGTTCGTGGATACGCCTCGCGACAAGTAGGCACGGATTACGATTATAATTAAGTGAAGCCAGGGTATTATGTAAATTCCACTCGTCGTTTTTAATTTATTGTGTGCTTGGTAACGTGCTTGGTGCTAGTAAGTTCGTATTCGGTATTATATAAGTCCTAATGTATGATATTTAGACTCTCCTGTCTTTCGCGCAATCACACTGACAGCACGAGTTAAATCCAAATCTCCTAATGTCAAAAAGCCTTTAACTCTTGAGATTCGAGCTTTTAATTGTTAGTTTGAGTTATTCCTCTGAATTATAATATCTCTCAGATTATATATTTTTATCGAATAATCTTGATAAATTTTTGAGAGAATTTGAATGAGAGATTTCAATATATGTTTAATGAGTTTAATCCTTTATTTAATTCTATATATAAATGACAATAATTATTATTGCACAAGCGCAATTTCTTAAAAAAGCGTTTTCGCATCTGCATTGTATAATATTCCGCAGTATTATAGCAAAACATATCACGTTAAACTGAATAACGTCTGGAAAATGACGAATGTCAGGAGAAACTGGATATCATATGATTATTGTATATTTATTTGTCCATATTTTTAATTTATACGCCTATTATTCGCGAAAATAAAGAATGGAGGGAAAATGAGAGAGTGAGAGTGAAGACGAGAAAGAAATATATATATAAATATATGAAATCTCATTAATTTTTTAAGAAATATATATATATATAATAAAACAAAATGTGGATATTAAGGAGATCTTAGCTTTTCCGCAGGATTATCTTCGCAAGATACAGTCGAGTATTTATAGAAATGTACCGAGTAGTTCAAATCCTTACTATATTAATAACGAATACAAATTAATAGATCTGATATGGGATAAGTTAAATGGCAATTTTATTGGTATTATCGATCGAGCAATCGACATTTCATGTTAATCGCCCGCCAACGGCTGTTACATCTCCGGTGAGGCGAGCCTGCGATTAAATGCGAGCGATTTCGAAAGCTTTCAACTCTGTTCGACATCGTATAAAAAAGTTATGGCAAATAAAAGGCATATATAATACAGTGATTGCGCGTTTATTCTCTGCCAACGTCCGACGGCCGCTAATTACCGATACTTTTATTTTCGCCAAAAGTTGTAACGCAAATCGACTTGCATATCGATGAGCGAACTTCTCTACGAGTCCCGTCATTGTTTTAATTGCGCACGCCGCTTTGACGCAGCACGCACATCCTGTACTTACTTTCCCTTCTCATAAATCGTTTGATACGGCAAAAACCTTGAAACGTGTATTATTAAACTGACGAGTGTCAACAACGAATCTCCGGCTAATAGTAACTCTTGTATATAACAGAGGACAATGTGTACATTCGCAGAGGTACGCGTGTCAATATTCGATGGCACAGACAAATGTTTGTCAGCGGTGGTTGATAACGTTGCGCGTTGCAGGAGTCTAGTTGGTCCTACGTTTGGGACGCGATGGGGGACCTGAGTGCCGTGCCGCAGGAGAAGAGTATGCGCAATATTTTTTTCTATACATTTTAATAATATATTCTTTATCGCAAAACGTGCACGCGAGTTTCGTCCGCCGTTAACCGAAAGCGAATCCTAACAGTCGTAGATTATCTCCTGGAACGTTTGGAGCGCGGTCAGTTCTACACGTGGGTCGGCACCCTCCTGCTAGCGATCAATCCCAATGGCGAGATCGTCACCGGGAATCACACGTACGATTTGTGGCGGGCTCGCGAGTACGACAATATATGCGACGTGACCAACAAGGAAGTGTCGCCCCACATATTCGCCGTGGCTGCCCGGGCGCACTACAGGATAGTTCAGGGTCTCGGGAAACCCAGCCAGGTAAATCCGAAATCGTCTGTGGAAGATTCTTTGTAATCTTCGCGCAGAATTGTCTTTCTCTGTCTCTCTTCAATTAAAAGTCGATACGAGCAACTCCCAAGGCGGTTCATCTATATGAACCGAAGAAATGGAAGACCTTGGTAAAGATTCGAAATCGATTTTGAGGAGTCTCTATAATCGTATACTCGAATTTTTAACGTATCTCTGAACGAATCAACCGGATTAATTTTTTTCATTTATTCCGCTTCTCCTTTCGCTACATTTGTGAACGACGTTCCTTCGTAAAGGTGATAGTCTTGAACGGAGAAACCGGAACGGGAAAGACCTTCAACGCGTGGAAGGCGCTGGAATTCCTGACCAGAAGCGTATCCTCCCCCGTCCGGGAGAGACGAGACGCGGTTTGCGGTATCGTGCGGAGGATTTCGGACGCCTGCCGTTTGATATCGGCCTTCACCACCGCGCCCACCGAGAGGAACAGGGTCAGCTCGAGGCATGTACAACTCGTGTGGCTGGAGTACAAAATGGGCTGCATATCCGGCGCGACGATATCCTCGTACCTCCTGGAAAGGGACAGAGTCACGAAGGGCTGTTGCAATTTTCAGATTTTCGGTCAGGTGAATTAAAAGGCCAGGTCTCGCGCCAGTTAGCCGCGCCATGCGTTTTTTGAAAGATAATAATTTGTTGAACCTTGTTATCCTTTTGCTAAGCTTCTTTTGCGAAACTGCACTTTATAGCTGATGGCCGCGGTGGCGAACGTAAATTTCACGGATACCGAGCTGCGACAACTCCCGCGACGGGGCAGACGATACTTCATGGCGAACGACTTTGATCCCCTGAGGGCGGAGGAGTCGCTCGACGGTTTCCATAAGACCCTGAGGGCGATGGATCTGCTGGGGTTCACAGAGTGTCAGAAGAAGGACATCTTCCACGTTCTCTCCCTGCTCATTTACATGGGTGACATACGGTTCGTGCAGGAGGATGATCGTTGCAGTATCGATATCGACGATCAACGTACGTAATCGGCAATTATCCTACATTAATTTCCACGCGGCACGAATTGTTCTACGTGGTAAAAAAAAGCGCGGCTCTTCGTTGTCGATAAGCGGCACGATTAGGTGAAATGTGAGCCCATGAGTAGAACAACGAATTATCACGACAAAATGATTATTAAAAGTCACTTTTCGAGTTGATAATTCATTTTAACGTCATTTTCACGATATATCGTGACCTGTTGTTCCGCTCGGGCGAGGTTCGCGCACAGATTATTCACGCGATTTTCAGAATCTAAAGAAGCCCTGGAGAACGCATGCCAGCTGGCCTGCGTCAAGGAAGAGGACATCGCCGAGCTGCTCACGTCCATTTTGATAAATCCTCAGAACAACCGGCGCCGGCATACCATTTGCCGGCGTAATCTCAATACGAGCGATGCCTGCCGCTATCGATTGCACAGCATCATCCGCCACTTGTACGATCTTCTCTTCCACTGGCTGGTCAACTGCGTGAACGACATCTTGTCCAGCCGTCTATACAGCGAACGATTGGGTATTAAAGACGTTTTCCTAATGCGCTTTAGAAAAAAAAAAACGTGTCACTCCCTATAGAAAAGACAGATTTTTATCAATCGATACTCGCGCTTCAGGAATATTGGACATCTTCGGCTTCGAGTGCTTTGACTCGAATGGCATCGAGCAGCTTTGCATTAATTATGTCAACGAGAGATTGCAGCAGTATTTTGTGGAAAAGTATCTGCTGTCCTGCCGGAACGATTTGCAAAGGGAGGGCCTCATCGGCGACGACGAGGAGTCGTCAGATATCGTGCGATCGTACGTAGATCGCATAAGCACGATCGAGAAATATTTGTTCGCTTCCGTAAACGATGTAAATGTCTCTCCGTCATATTTAATAAATTATATACCGATTATGTATAATGCACATATAGAAAAGTTAACGATGAACATTTTCGCGTCGCAGATGTGTCTGTCGACAGTTCCGAGCAACTCGACCACGTTAATACGCCAAGTGTGCGCCAAAAGTTGTCCTGCAACGAGGCAATTTTTAACTGTAAGAAATGACAATTTCATTGTGCGGCATTACGGCGGTGCCGTGGAATATTCCGTTTGCGATCTGCTTTCCAAGAATACCGACAAGGTAAACCAGTAACGGCAAATAATGCCGAAAGTTTTTTTTCCATCAAACCTTGTAGTGAAGTTAGAAAAAGTTCGAAGGTTCTTTTGAAAAGAGAAAAATTTCTCTCTGGATAAAAAAAGAATATATTAAAGCCAATGATTTTGCTTTGATTTTACTGAAATTTTATTTTTAATTATGCTTGATAAATCTTCTGCACATCGACCTAATTAAACTTTGTACGTTTCGCGGAGTTAGAAAAAGTTCGAAGATCTTTTGAACGAAGAAAAATTTCTCTCTGGATAAAAAGAAAGTATTAAAATCGATAATTTTGCTTCGACTACTGAAATTTTATTTTTAATTGTATTTGATAAGTATGACAAATTTTCTGCATATCGATCTAATAAGATACTTTGTACGTTAATTAAATTCCGCGGAAAAATCTTTAAATACATCTCTAACGCACCTGCAGATTCCGGACGAGATAATCGTAACGTTCAGCGTGAGTACGAATAAATTCCTGTATTCGTTAATTGTGGAAGGTAAACCGTATCACGATGGAAAAGCGAAGAAGCCGACGATGCTTTCCAAGCTCCGATCTAACGTGGACACGTTGATACAAGAGTTAAACAAATGCGACACGCACTACGTTCGCTGCATTAAGCCGCAGTATAGTATATACATATATATATATTAAAAATAGCGCGTAATCGAATTAACTTTTTTTTATGCAATAAAAAATACTCCCTGCAGGCGCCTTAATAATTACAAATGGAATCGAGACGAGCTTCGCAAACAATTGGCTAACACGGGCGTACTTGACGCGTTACCGCTGGCCAGATGTAAATATCCGATTCAATTCATCTACAAAGATTTTTTCAGACGCTACAGTAGAAGACGCACGGGTAAAAGTTATAAAATTTTTTTGAACATTAATAAGCCTATATATTCGCTATAAATTTGTTCCTTCGTAGAAACCTGCGATACCGCGACTTCACGTAGCATTTGCAAAAACATATTGGAGTCGTTTTGCCTGACAATGGATGACGAGAACGCATCGGTGCACTACGGGAAACGTTTGATTTTTTTAAGAGAATCCATGTTTCTGCGATTAGAGTCGGCCAGAAGGCGATACCGCGCTGAATGCGTCAGGAAGATAGAATTGTGTTGGCTAAAGTACAGTAGGTATCTCTTTACACATATAAAAGTTCACATCCACGGTCCTCACATCGCTCGTATAACTTTAGGGCGAAAATTCGATTTGCCGAGAGACAAGCAATATAAAATAAAATAAATAAAATTATTGTATGTCACTTGAATTTTGTTGTACAGTTAACGATTTTCCGTGAAGAGATTTTAATTTTATTTCGAAAGATTATAAGAGGAAAAGTAATTCATTGTCTCTGCGCAGAAAATCTTACGCAATATTCGGAGAAAAATTCAAGTGATCGCACGATCGTTGACATGAATATCCAAAATGAGCCGACTGATGAATCCAAGTCGGAATCGAACGAAGTCGTGCCTGTGTTAGGAATAAGCCTCTGCGCAGAAAATCTTGTGCAAGATATGCAAGAAAATATGGAGGATGCGAAAAATAATAGTCAGGCGATCGTTAAATATCAGCCGTCCCGATTCGAGAGAGCTCTGTTAGAATACGAGCGTGTTATACCGATAGAAGACGTTCCACAATTCGTGCCTACTGGAAAATACATAGAGATGCTGATGAACATAGCGAAAAAAACCGCGTACATATTGCATTGGCTGGATGGGGTGAGAAATGTGAAACCGTCGATATTAGAGCTGCTGCGAGAAGAATACAATTATAATCACTCGATCGATGGCGATTGCACTAAGGACATTCAATTGCGAGAGCATAAGCCTTCGAATAATGAGAAGCGTCGTAAATATACGCGGAATAGACGCGGGAAGACACACGAACATTATAACGAGGCAAGTAGCATTAATATATAACGATATAATTAATATATAATAATAATATATAACGATAAAATTAATATATAACGATATAACACTTTATAACTATTTATATTCACGGGAAAACTTTTATTTAGAAGGAAGATATGTACGTTATACAATACGGCAATTTCACGCTGTTTTACAAAAATAGGATTTTGAGCCGACGTCGTCCGGCGAGGGTAAATATTGTTAAATATAAGGAATTATGAAGGGAAGAAAATTTAAAAAAAACGTGCTTTATTACCTTCTTTTAGCTACCAATTAGAATACACACTCGTCTCAGATGCCTAGCCAACTCGCACTGTTTGGTACATACGGAGCTACCGCAGGGTCTACAGGATTGCCTTTAAAAAGAATATTTGTACAAATGTAACTCGTAAGATTTAGGAGAGTCCCGTACTCTTACCGCACTGAATATATACATAACTTTTACATAATTTACAAAATATTAAAAAAAAATCTTCATTTAAATTAAAGGATTTACATAGAAACCTTTCAGGAACTTCTTTTATGTCTCGACTAACGTGGAAAGGGATTCGTGTTCATAGAAAATTAAAAAAAAAAAAGATTGACAAGACGCTAACAGAGATTGGCGTCTAAACATCGTACAAAAATAAAAGTAGTTCCATGAAAGGGAAGCAATGACAAATCTCCTTAAGTTTTAATTAACCGGGACGGTCTACAGCTATTACTGATATAATACAAAATATATGAATAATTATGACAACCCTCGCTATACACGTAACGCTAAACCGTTTGAATGAATGAAGCTTATATACATGCTGATCTTTATATATTACAAACAGACGTTTGCCAAGTTATAAAAGTTGTAGGGACCCTTCTTTTTATCTTTAATCACAAGTAATCTGCGTGATGCGACTAGAGCGAGAGTGGCCTGCAGGTCGCTCCTTAGAATTTGATAATTAGCTCTTAAACTGACGCGTCTCAAGTTGTTTTGCGGTACCGGACGGCCACCAGCGAACGCAAATCTGTAATCACGTTTAGATTATATAATAAAATTATTACGCATTTATGTTCGTTAGCCCGATGACACGCACCTTATCTCCCGTCTCGGTCCTCTCAGAGTGGAATCCGGAAACGCCGTCTGTCGATCCCACAGCATCCTGTTGTTAAGCAGCGGCCTGACTTTCGCGTACTTGATCTTGCTCTTAACGACGATAGGCAGTGCGCCTTTCTTATCTCTTCTCTCTCTTGCATTGTCTTCGCGATTAGCGGGTAAATAAGGTAGTAACGAGTCCCCGTAATGCTCGGTCAAAGGGGCGAGATCCAAAGAAGAGCCCTGCGACCTCACGAGAGCACAAGTAGATAGCTGTAATAATTGCAAGAAAATCAATGAAGGAGCAACGTACAGGGGGATTAGAATGACGCAATGTCGATACTAACAGCCATTCGCTGCCAAATAACCGAACCGGACGAAGCGTAGTAATATAAAATATTTTGTATGGAGAGCGTGTGCGAAGCCTCGTGTTGGAAAAATACAAGCGGCTGAATACTCGCTAACAATTCCACCGCCATTATCCTCTTTTTGTAGAGATCAATGCTTTCCGTTTCGCTCTTTAAAAGGACATTCTCCAATACTGGTATATATCTGTTCACAAATATTTAAGGAATATTAGTTTTTCATGAAAATGTTTTGCAAAATGCATACAAGACTTTTTTTTTAAATTTCGTATTACTTGTCGGCAATCGACGGCCAGCGAAGCATCAATTTGAGCGCGCATTCTTTGAAGAGTATCTCCAAATTCGGATGTATGAAACTCTGACCCAACAGCAATTCCAGCAATAATTCCGTTAATTTATCCACCTTGAAATTAGAAAAGATTAAAGGGTACGTTCGAGTATAAAATTCACAGGCATGCGCATAATTATTCTACATTCGATTACCGAAATTAGGTGATAGGGATAGATAGCTTCGCCGTTACTAGTAATCGCGATTATGAGTTGACACGTCCGTGTGGAAACACGTGTATATTGTGCATTATTTGAGATTACCATGGACCGAGCAATGGACATCAATTTGTCGATGACTCCCTCGTCACCTAAATGCACGTTGGTGGCACAATCATTAAGTAAAACCTAGAAGTTTAAAAAAAACGTTGCATTTATCTGATGATGATGCCAAAGAATATTTTATATGCATATATATACATATTTCTATATACCTGAAAGGTCTTTTGTGAGCCATTAAATAAAGTTTTCAACGCACGTTTGGCATAATTGTGACGCGCTTCTGTCAGTTTTATATCACATATCTCAGATTCTATAAGAAAAAAAAAGAAATTCAACATAAATTAAAAGACAGCATCAAAATTAGCAATTTTAAATAAAAATCTCGATTTATTAAGTATTAATACAAATAAATAATAAATTAAAAGATAGATAATCGTAAATGTATAAATCTTTAAAGAACTTACCTTGTAGAAACGGCACGTTGTTTTGCGTCAGACACAACGGATCGTTCATCTGATTGGCGAGATTAACGACAGATTCGCAAGGCACGTACACCTTTGCCTCCGTATGATACTCCGGCATGGATTCCGACGCACCAAAAACCGGATCGGCGTCGCATAAGCTGGTGATGACTGCATTTACGTCCACGGATGTCAGACGTTTCCTCTTACTGTGTCTCAGTCTCGTAACACATTTCTGAAAAAAATTTCTTTTTAGCCCTTCAATATGTTTGACATTTTTGGAAATGGTATAAGCAGTATTATAGAAACGAACAACATTATAAGTATTGAACTTTTCAATTCTCTGAAATTGAGAAAAGTTCAGGCTGCAAAGGACTAAACGTCGAATGGGAATCTCACTGCACTTACATGCAGAACTTCTCTCAAGCGATAGGAAGCGTCCTCGGCTAGTCTCTTTAGGAGAGGATCCGGCAGTGGATGCATGCCCAGTTCCTCGCCGATGGTGGAGATCCATTCGGTGCTGAGCATGGCGTATCTCCTCGAATTATTGTCACCTATAATACTGCTAGTGCCTGCATCTTTGTTACTGTTGACGAACGAGCTACTGTATCCCATGCTAGACTGATTTGTCAACAGCTCTTTCATGATTTCCACTTTTTCGTGTCCAACAGCTTTAGAGTCCACACAGTTAGATTCAAATTTGTTGCACGCGAACGCTCTTTAATGAGGCCTCGGTCAGCTGTAAATTGCGAGTAAAAACAGTGTTTACAAATTAAGGGTTAATTCTTATTCACACAGCATGAATTATTTCTTGTGAATCGTTTTTTTTTTAAATATCTCAACTGAATATTGTAGAAAAATTTCGTAAACATTTGTAAAACATATACATACTCCTAAATATTGGTAATTAATATTTAGTCCTTCTCACCTCCGATTTTGACGAGATTAGGCTCATTCGACGCGTTTTTACACGAAACGAAAGAATCTAGCAGAAATACATATATTATCCGCGAAGCAAAATATCAATCGTTAAAATTGATGACTTTTTGGGTTATGAAATCTGTCATATCAACGTAATTGCTCACTGGTCACAGTGGTCACTGTGGGTTGTGGTGGCCATGATGCAAATAGGTTTCAGGATTCGCGTACATTAACGCCCCCTGACGAAGTGGATGTAAACTATATAGCAAAATTCACTTTTCTACACCGCGGGTATATAATTTGTGGTGTCCGTGCTATACATCCATTCTTTCGACACCTGGGGCTGGGGCTTTAATTATTATTTTCGAAAAATTGCGTCGAAAAAATTATGTCCTCAGATTACGGATATTTCCGGTCTTGGGCATTGTTCCGTATCATATATTATACAATTAGAGGGCTTGCCCTCGAACGGTAATAAACTCTTTTATCTATCGTCCATCTATCGCTATATACATATATGTATATATCGACCGCGACTATCTATCGATCGCTGTCTGTCTCCTCGTCGTCGCCGCGGTCGAAAACTTGTAGCGATAATGTCGATGCTCTTCAATTACCTCCATAGCTCCACTTCCACTATAGATCGCAAAAGTTTGAAGACATAAATAAACATATACGCGGAGGACGTTTCAAAATACGCTGACAGCTGCGAGCAGGCACTGAAAATCTGTAACGTATGCGCCGTAGGACTTTAGACGGCTCGCGTTCGAACATTCGAATTTCTTTTACATATTTACGCGTGATTCTGCGCTTCGCGATTTCGCGTGTGTCAGCCGGTCCCATTTTTGTCGAGAAATCTCGCGCCGCTCGTTGCCCGACGACGACGACGACGACGACGACGACGCCACGGATTGCTGCGCGAGCGCGAGATACGCGGCCGATGGAGTGCATGTTTTGCGATGTCTGTATGTGACCGGTCCTCGTGGATACCTCGCGCCTTCTCGCCGGCTGGAAACGACCGATCGTCCGTGCTACGTTTCGCGACTCGACGTAGTCCGCCGACCGACCTGTGAACCCGATATTCCGAAGGTATATTGCCGTACGTCGCGGCGACCCAAATGTCGCCGAATTGATTGCGCTTGTCGCGGTAATCGGCGTCGCGACTGCCGCTGTATGTATCTCCTGCAACGAGGAGCCACGGCGCTGAGCCTCGATCATGTCTCGTTATCTTTATTATCTCCTTTAATAAGCGGAAAGACTTGGCGAGTGCCGTTGACAACACGGCGTGAAGCAAACGTCGCCGCAGGCAACGTGGAATCGATTTTTGTCCCTCGCTTACTCACGTGCATCGTCTTGCAGCTCGAATGAGCAAGAAATATTAGTATTTTGTCTTAAATCAGCAAATTTAGTGGGAGCTAAAGAATCTTTCTCAGTCGGAACTGTCTTTGAAAGTCTCAAAAGATATAGTTTGCCGATTAAAATTATGCTTTGAGAATTGTTTAAAAAGCAGAGCGAATTCTGGAGTGTAAAGGGTTAAGGGCCGTTATGTGCGAATTTGTAAAAATATCCTGACTGTAATATATGTATATAGCAGAATTTCTTGCTGGATAATGTAACCACAACATAGTGTATTTATATACAAACGGTTTTGTATGTATACAACAAATATTTTTAAAGTGTACAGTACAGCCAAAGTCACATTTTACATTGTATTTTTATCTTTTCTCTTCTCTGTATCTTTCCCTTTTCTTGCGAAGAGCAAACGTATAAAGCTGTTTCGTCCAAATTACAAGCTGTAAAATATAATTTAGAAAATATACAGTATGTTCGATGAGGATGTTGTCAAGCGTCAAGCTTGATTTCATCCAATCTAATCTCATTCTTGACTCTCGGCAGGTTTGCTTATACAGACGATGGATTCCTTCGGAGACAGGGAGTCCAGCAGGGATGGGGAAATTGTGAGACGAGCCGTGGGACGTGGACATCGTGTTTGGTCACAGGCAGATGGTGGAGGACTCAGGCGGCCGCACAGTGCGTCAACTGCTAGTCAATCCAGTATAAGTTAGCATTTGTCTTGGTTGTTCCAGCAGAATCGCGAGCGTTTGCTGGCGTTTAAAGGAGAACCTTTTGTACGCAGGATCCGACTCTTCGACGGCCGCAACGACGACGCAGTATAATCAGGAGGAAAAGAAATTCGCGCTGTCGCCGCAGGCAGCAGAGTTCGTCCCGAGATCCGTGTTGCGCTCTCAATCTCACATGTCACAGTCTTCGGCGCAGTCCACTGCGGCAGAGCGTAATGTATTTCTGGCCCCCGTAAGTGATCTATCTTGGCAGTTTCTCGAAAGCAGCGATGGCGCAACGTCTTTTAAACCTATTTACAAAACTGTCCTACGAGCCGGCTAATATTTACATCCATATCAGATTAAAGATTGAAATCGAGATGTGATAATTAGAAGAAAGGAAACCAATCTCACGTTGAAGTGAACTTTACTTTGATTGGTTAAATTCCAATGCAGTCTCAATCTCAATCTTTAGTCTGACGCGGATATTAGTTTTGTTTGCGTGAAATGGAAAATATGACATTATAATGAGTAAGCAGGCCGCAGGTTGCGCATCACTGCATCGACATTCGTTACTTTGATTTCGAATAATCTGCCTACTGCCTATTTACTCTCCTGTTACCCACCAATATCCAAAGAGGTCCATACAGGACAGGATCAGATTAGCTCGCGAAATGCCGCCAAGTGTGTCCGTACCTTCGTCACTTGATGACAGTGGTGTAGGAGACGCTTTTGAGCAGCAATGCAGTGTACAAGACGTGAATACAGATACTTACAATGACGATACATACGAGTTATACGGTCAAGACGATGTGAGTAATGGCTTGGTAAAAAGCCTGACTTCTCTTCGTTATAAGAAGCTACACATTGTATACAACATTTATATCTGTGATACTTGATTTAGAAAGAGGAGAGGCAACGGAACGAAAAGGAAGAGGCTTACAACCTCGAAACCTACGAGCATCTCAGCAACATTATCAACATTTTAATTATGAACCCCGCCGAGTTCAGCAACCTAGTCCCGCCGTTTATGGACAAGCTCCGGTTGAGCGGAAACATGTGTTGCCTGCAGTTGGTCGTGAAAACCATAATCGACTGGGTAATACAGAAGTTTCTCTCTTATCCGCGAATACATACTCGTATGCCATTTATAATTTTGCGCAAGACACTTTTCTATTCGCAAGCGATGTTCAAGATTTGCCTTGTTCCATATAATTGACGCGTGTTACTTTATCGACTTTACATCTCACATACTTTTCAGTCCATAGCCGAAAGTAATTTTCGATATAATGGAGCCCGGTGGTGTAAATATTTCGACTCCAGCTTTAAAAATTCCAAAGAGCTGTTCAGGGACTTTTTGTGCTTCCAGTAAGTCCACAGACACGACACGTACGACGACTCGATTAAAAATTGATACAATTTATTATACATCGGCGGTGTGTCGTTATGTTGTAGATGTAAATGGGAGACCGGAATACTCGAAAACGAATGGCTTAGTCAATCCGGGGAGAACCGGGACCAACGAAAGTGCAATGGGTTAATACTGTTTCTAGCGGAATTGGTCGCTCAGATGGACGAAACTTATGCTTTCACCTTAGGCGAGTTCTTGGTGTCGTTCATTACCAAGGTGCTACAGAGACCAGCGTCGAGCTCTGTCAAATATATATGCCAAGCGCTCAAAGTACGTCGCCTGTAATGACGATTATTCGATAATTAATTCATAATTCGATTTTTTTTTTAATCTGTATTCTAACGTGTTTGACGCGCAGTTGGCGGGTCACGTGTTGGAGAAGGATAAGAGCAGGAGTAAAGACATGGAGAATATGATGCGGGCGCTTACGGAGCTCGTGAATAACGGGCAGGTCGACACGCACGTGGGAAACATGGTGAACAGCGTCCACGAGTTGCGAAAGGATTGGGGCAGAAGCGCGTCCAATTGCGATATGTCCGGGTCAAGCCATGCGCTGTTTAACGACGTCCAGCGACAGTCCGACCAACTGGGCGCGTCTAATTATAATTCAACCGAAACGGAGGCTTCGCCGTTAAAAATACAGCATCCGGCGCCGCAGAGAATGCAGCCGCCCGACCAGCCCGTGATGTACGGTCCCGACGGCGAGATTCTGTCCGCGGAGGAGAGCGAATTTCTCGAGCAGCATGCAAAGGAGCATATGGACGAAGAGTACGTTGTAACACTTCGTATCTGTATTTTTTAATTAAATGTGAAAGAAGTCTTTTGACGACAGTATTCGGTTTAAAAAAGCAAACGATTACGTGTGTACTAACATTATTATGGTGTACAGGACGTCCGAAGAAGAACCCGACGACAATTACGACGAAGAAATCGCGACCGCTTACGAGGAGTTCTTGAGAGATGCGAAGTGCAAATAAAAAGTCCAAGACGGAGAGTAGACGGACGTAGTCTCGCACAAAACAGGATTGTACTCCGGCCCGAGCTAATAAATACGAATGTCTTGTTTAAACGCTTTGTGATTTTTCAAAGAGATGGAGATTTTGGATTTGACTGCGTAAACATTATAAGTATCCGATAATCTATATCACGAAAGGTAGGACAAAGCCATTATGTACGTTGCATCTGATCTGTGGGAAAAAAAAGGAAGTGCACCAAACACGAGTAATTTTAAATTCATAGAGATCCGCCATGTACATAAATAGTAATACCGATATATATATATGTAGCGTACAGAGTGGTTCACTTTGAAACGGAATGCTTGAATAAATCCATTTCATTGGACGCGAGGGGGAAAAAAAGTGTTAAGGACGAAACTTATATAATTGAAAAAAAAACGAGCATAATGCAGAAGGAATTCTTTCTCAAAATCGTACGTTTTCAATGAATTCCAAGGACGCATCTCTCTCTTTTTCTCTCTCTCTCTCTCTCTCTCTCTCTCTTTCTCTTTTTCTCTTTCTCTCTCTTTTTCTCTCTTTCACGTCGTTTAGCTAACATTCAAAAGTATAAAGTTAATTTAATTTATATTAAAAGCTAGAATGAAAACGGCTAAGAGATCTAAATCGCTATTTCGCGCGCACGTTTATTCATACATTTAAGAGAGCGTTTTTATTCGAGCGTTCTATTTCCGATGGTCAACCCTGTACATAGGTATGTGTTCCATATGGCAAATATATGTGTATTTTGCATTTATTTAAAGTTATATGTGTATTTATACGAGAAATTTCCTAAATACATGACAAGAGTTTTATATAAGTACTGCCTGTACATTTGGAAGGTATAACGCTAATTATTTAATTCCGCATATAACGCTTTTTCAAGATCGCTCCATATTCTTAATTAACGTAGAATTACATTTCTTCCCAAGAGAGACATATGTTTTTATAAATCGATTTTTCGTTCGCCTATTCGCGTGAGCGATTTTAAACAGATCGATTTCGCGGAATTAATTCGCGTCTATATACCGAGTTTATTCGACGAATTTTACGTTTATAGATGACCGAGGCAAATGATGGTTTTCGACGATAGCCTTACCAATATGCGATTAATTATGTTTCTCGTCTCGAGGTTGCGACATCGAGTCGTGCGTTCTATTCGCGCGAAACGACAATAAAAACGGGAATGTGCGATCCGATCATTCGGGCGGTGCGATACTGGGATTACCATAATTTTATTCGCGCGGCGATTTGCATCATACGCGACTTGTGCATTCTCTCGCTTCTTTTATTTTGTCTACATTTTTGTTCTAGATTAGCATATTCACGCGGGCTCGGGGAAGCGTGACGGGGAGAGAAGCTGCGCGCGCGACACGAAAACGGACTGCGATCCGCGACAGTTGTGTCCGACAAGCCGGATATCGGATTTTTTACTGCGACCGTCGCCGCTGCAGCGGGATCGGGCGTACAACACCGCGTGTCCGCGAGGATCCATTTTTGGCGCGAAAGGGTGCCCTCGTCGCGCGGAACGCTCCACGTGTATGCGAAGCCGCTGCAGCAGCAGCCGCGCGATTACTCATACCTGTTTCGACCGATTACGTGTGTATTGTATTGTGCACGCGAATATGGAATATCATTATCGGGCAATTCTCGGGCCGGGATGGACGGATAATTGCGTGCGTGCGTTCCGATCGCGCTAACGCCGCGCGCGCGCGCGCGCGCGATCAGGCCGCGCGGAAAACCCGCTCGACGCGCACGTAATGCTCGTCCAATTACGTCCCAAAAAAAAAGGCGCGAGAAAAAAAGACGGAATTAAACGCGTTATAAATACGTAGGCGAAATTTATCGAATACCTTGGAGGAAACAATCAGGGCCGTGCGTGGGCGAAGTTTTCGAAGGGGGGACTGAAGGTCGGCGGGATGGTGGGGCCCCCCGAGAGATCGTCCTCGCGTCACATCTACGATTCTATCCGCGATCGCGGCTGATCGGTTAGTCTTCCACGCGCCTCGACCGAGCGTCAAGTTGCGGGCAGAGGTGGGCACATTACACGGATTAACTTTTTTGTCGCGGCTCATTCGAGCAAATCTTCATGCATTTATTCATACGTTATCCATTACTCGGTGTTATTTGCATTACTTGTCGCGCTCGTTACTCGTTGTTTCTTTGCATTGTAATGCGAACGTGTACATGTTTACACTTAGCAGACTTGAGGATTTGAGCCAAAAATCGGTGCATGTCACGCGAATCACCTTTTTTTAATTTATAAATAATCGAGACGATCTTTTATCCATCTCCAGTTGCAAAAAAAAAAGCGAATTGTTTCGTTTAACGATGTGAAACGAAAAGAGAAGTCGCGTTTTAACTTAAAGAATTTGCGCAGAGCTTTCGATTTGCGTCATTAGAGGAGCGAATCGTCGTAAGAATAGCGTTCCGTTTCCGCCTTGAGGATTCGAGCAAAAATGTTCTCCAGTTATTAATCGCTTTTTTTTTAAATTTGATTAATTGTGATCTTTTATTCATCTCTAGTCGCAAGAAAAAAAATTTCGTTTTCGCGCAAATCGCCTTTTTCTAATTTATAAATAATCGAGACGATCTTTTATCCATCTTTATAGTTGCAAGAAAGCGAATTGTTTGATTTAAAACGAAAGGAGAAGTCACGTCTTAACTCGAAGAATTTACGCAGAGCTCCGATTTGCATCATTGAGAGAGAGGGGAAGAATCATCGCGAGAATAGCGCGTTCTCCTCCAGCCTGTATCGTCAGAACTTCATCTCTTTCGGCAGATAAAATTCCGGCAAGATGCAGTACTCGCAAGCCACAGTCTTGCTCCTGCTCCTGTTCACCGCGGTGGTGAGCGGCAGCCACTACGTCCAGTACGTCCAGTCGCGGGTACTTTCCGGTAAGTTTTGCTTCCTTGTCTCCTTGTTATTACGCAAAACCATAAGCGTGCCTGTCGAATCACCTTCGACCCTTCGTCCTCGGTAGGAAATTGCGACAGCTACACGTGCGGCGTCAACGCGAGATGCACGATGAGCGAGGGGCGGCCGGTGTGCTCGTGCCTGAATCTACACATGGGAGACCCGCTCGCGCGGTGCACGCGGGTCGAATGTTTAAGTGAGTAAAAAAAAAAAAACGAAGCGAGATCCGCGAGCATTATATAATTATTCGTGGAAGAGCAGAATTCTTGTTAATTAAGTCGGAGCTATACCTGCAGCTTTTATTTTTATACACGCTGCTGGCCGTTAAAAATTGCTACAACGGAAAGAAAACGCGTCATGTTGAACCGAAACTTGTAAGGACGGGCCATGGTAGAATAAATGCAAATGAGCTAATACTTGTAAAAAATACCAGGCTGTATCTGCTTCTAAATCCTCTTTGTATATCGTAAATAATCTAAATGTCACTTTGATATCTCGTCTTTAATATCATGTTTTTTCTTGGTGTTGCAATTTAATCTGGCCCAAGCGGTGTATTACTCGATTACGCTGCTTTAGCATCCTCGTCACGTTTTCAGTCAACGACGACTGCCCGTACAACAAAGTGTGCACGAACAACAGGTGCGTCGATCCTTGCGTGGGTCTGTGTGGATCAAACGCAAACTGCCTGACCAGAAATCACATAGGTACCTGCGAGTGTATACCAGGATACGTCGGAGATCCGTTCTCGGGTTGTCAAATCGCCGACCCTCGTACGTAGAGCTTCACCGTTTAATCTAAATAACACAACACCTAAAAGACATTACGAAAAAAAATTGTGTTTAAATAGTTTCTTAATGCTTCTCACGCTTTTCAGAAGTCTTTTTACGTTCTTCAAACATTCGCTTCTATTTTTCTTCCTCTCCTTAATTTAAATAATTTAGAATTCAATGTAAACGTGATAATAATTAAAGAGTTAAATTTAATACATAAATATGATAATAAAATAATTCCTAGAATTCTCTTCGAGAAGAATGTTACAAGTTATCAAAGACATTTGTTGCGATACAGAAGCTGCCTGCAAGCCGAGCCCGTGTGGAATAAATACCCAATGCGAGGTAATCAACGAGGTGCCAGTCTGCACGTGCCTACCGGGTTACCGAGGCTCGCCCTTGGCCGGTTGCCATCACGAGTGCGAGAGCGACAGCGATTGCCCTCATCACCTCGCGTGCTCGTCGTCGTACAGATGCGAGAGTCCATGCAAGTGCGGCGAGAGCGCGGAGTGCGAGGTCATCCATCATCAGGCGCGGTGCACCTGCCCGAAAGTAAGACGCCTCCGCGTTTTATCCCGATAGAGAATTACGGTTTCCACTATTGAAGGCTATGCGAGTCTGACTAAGCGGTGACGGGACGAGATGACGTATGTGTGTGTATGTGAGTGCTGTTGGATCAATCGGCTTCTCCGTTCCAGACATGGACGGGAAATCCATTAATCGCATGCCGACCGGAGTGCACCACCCACTCCGAGTGCCCGCCGAACAAGCCCGCCTGCCTCTATCAGAAATGCGTGAATCCCTGCGACGGCGTGTGCGGCGTGAACGCCGACTGCAACCTACGCGGCACCACCCCCGTTTGCAGTTGCCCGAAACACATGACCGGCAATCCTTTCGTCAGCTGCAGACCGTTCGAACCACGTAAGAAATTAGTATAACGTTAATATAACGTTAATTAGAACGCCAGAATCGTATTCTTCTTGGCTGCACCAGTTAATCACTAGCGAATATCCAAGAAGAAGACGACACACAGATTTCTATAGCATAGCAATTTTATAATATATTAATATAGATTTCTATAATATATAGAAATTATTATTATTATTATCGATTTCTATTGGTATAGAAATTTGTGAGACGACGTAAGAAAGATGGAGAAAAACAATCATCTCAAAATCTCTGTTCTCAGGCGATCTCTGCGAGCCGAATCCCTGCGGCGCTAACGCGATTTGCACGCCGGGCCACGACAATACCGGGAAGGAGAGGCCGGTGTGCACGTGTCCCACCGGCTACATCGGCAGCGCTTTGACGAGCTGCCAGCGCGGGGAGTGCTTCACCGACAGCGAATGCCCGGACAATCGGGCGTGCATCGACTTCACGTGCAGGAACCCGTGCACCGGCCGCGAATGCGGCCCGAGCGCCACGTGCACGCCCCGACGTCACATCGCGGTCTGTACGTGCCCGCAGGGAACCAGGGGCGACGCCCTGTACACCTGTAACCCGATCGAGAGTAAATCGGTGTACAATTACGGCCGCGCCTACCGTTACCGCTACTACTAGTCACGCAAAAAGAGAGAAAAAAAATCCAACAAAAAAAAACCGGAACCCACGTCTGAAATACTCAACCGTTTTTAATACCGCGTAATTTCGCATTCCAATTCTATAATCGGGCGTACCTTCGCGAAGAAATAAACCGGGGAGTAGAAAGAGAAATTAACCGCCTAATTCCTTACGCAGGTCGTGTAACAGAGTAATATATATTTTCCGTAACGCTACGCTGATAATATTACGTCTTCCAAATAATCGTGTTCACCGTAGATCTCACGCAAAAGTGTTCTGTATGTTTTATATGCTGCGGCTGGTCGAAAATCTATAGTTACGATTCTTAATAAAAAAAATAGAAGCATGACGATTTATGCTGCAGTATCAAGATCCCTGTACGATGATGAATCTTTTTTTTCCTGCCTATTTCAGTTTCATTCCAAATGCCACTTTCCGCTGCACATTCTTATCGAACGTAAATTTTTACAAATCTCACAGCAAAAAGAAAAACGGAAGGAATGCGATGCAATATATTATTTACAAAAGTCTTAAATCATTTTATCTGGTTAAACGTAATAATTTTTTATTGAATAATTTAACATTATTTATATCTCGCAGGGAGTGCAAGTCCGTAGTTATTATATAAAACTAGTTGAGAAATTTACGAAAAATCACTTGCCGCTATTAAAAAATAAATGATTACAATCCTCTCTTACGTATTATGTATAATTATACAATATGTCGTGATTGTTAAGAAAGAATCACGCTATATGTTAATTATTGGCAGCACCGTTATGTAAAGTTTATTAATTTTGAAACAGACATTGCCTGCTTCAATGTCAAGTGTTTAGGGGGTTCTTCTTCAAAAGTTTATTTACAAATACATACAGGATGATTTTTAATTGTATATCGATATTTGATATTAATCTATTGAAATTTTATGTATTTACACTTATTATAAGTATTATTTCAATTTAAATAGTAGTAAATAAGGTATTTACTTAAATTGAGATATTTTTCCAGATTTCATAATAAACGAAAAAAAAAATTATAATTCTGTACAGTGACGATTCCGTCATATATCTAAAAATACAATAAGTGAAAAATAAATGAAATTAAATATAACTATCATATTTAATTTACAGTTATATAAGAATTTACATATAAAAGATAATCATATAATTAAATATTATATTAAATTAATAAAATAAAATATAATTAGCATATTTATATATGAATTAATTATGTTATATAAAACATTAATATACTAAAATATAATAACATTATACATAAAATAAATGTTAAATAAAAAAAAGATAATTATATGTATATATATATATATATATATCGATATATAATTAAAAATCGTCTTGTATATTAAGGACACAAATCTCCTATTCTTACAGTCCTTCTATACATAATATTAACAGATTGCACTTAATCTTAGATCTCATACACGCTCGCACTTTTTCAGCTATTCTACTCACTCACGCGACTACGACTATGATTGATACAAAATAAAAATTATACGAAGGAATATTTCTTTTATAATCTAGTGAAAGAAAAGATTAAAGTATATATTATATTTTCATGAAGTGTCGACAAAATGAATCTGCAGTATAAAAAATAAGAATGAAAATGATTTAAATAAAAGTATAAAAAAATAAGAATGAAAATAACTTAAAATAAATAAGTGTAAACAAAAATACACAGGAGATGGAGTACTGTCTCTAAATATGTGGTTAATTGTGCGCCGCTCTTTTGCCGTTCATGTAACCGATCCATCTCTCCGCGGTCGTAATAAAAATAGGATCGTTGTCGATAGAATTAAGAAGGAGAAGTTGATTAATGTGAGTAGAATGATAGTCCCATCTAGCTAAGTTGGGTGCTGTCTTCAGTGTAAAATGACGCAAATCGTACGTCGTACCCGAGCCGGTGTCGTATAACGTCAACATGCTCTTTAACGATATCATACCCTGATTGAAGAGTCTGGTCGCCTCCTCCGCGTCCTTACCCATCGCTATGCTCTTCAAATCGTAGAGACCGATGAGCGAATAAATAAAACCGTTGAGTATGAAAGACGACGGGGTAGTGGGATATTCCTCGTACCAAACGTATTTGCCTAGAAACAGCGCAGCCACCCCGCCCTTAGCGGACGTCAGTCTGAAAGGTCGTAGGCCTCTGATAGCGGCCTGTAAGTATTTCGCCTCCCCGGAATGGTAATATGCCCGTGCCAACACTGATATCGCGTGACCCTGGCCCATGCTGGAATACCTGTAATCCACATATTTTTCTCTCGTAGAATCAGCCCCAGCTGTTAATATAAACAGTTAATATGTACATATGTAAAAATGTTACCATCCGGGCTCGAGAATAGCCATTCCAGACGCTACTTTTCTCCTGACCGGATTCGGCCAGCCGCCGGACGTGACGTTCTGATTGGCGACGAACCATCTTGCCGCGTCGTAAAATTGCTCCATGTGCTCGCTAGTTGATAATGTCATATTGTCAATCATACCGGAGCCGTACAAAGTAATTTGAACTACCTGAAATGAGCGAACGAGAGATTTTCGTTAAAAAAATTATTCTAAAAAATTCCTCAAGATCATCGTGTAAAATTTCGGACGAACGTTTACCTTTAATTTGGACCGGGGCAATTTCTTCCTACTTTTATCATTCAAGTAAAGACCTTTCTGTAGGTCAACCACGAGGTCTCTGGTAAGACGTCGCCACTGATGATTAGCTTGCCCGATTCCATAGTACACGTGATTATTATAATTATGCAACACTATGTTGTTGGTAACGTAATGAAGGTAGTACATCTCCTTCTTCTCCCTCGACTGCAGTACAACCGTGACACTTCCGTTGTCTTTGATATTAAAATCCCATTTCAACACGAAGTCCAATACGTGATCCAGCTTCAGGGAAATCCCGGACGTGCTCGTTTCCGGCGTGGCGAATTTCAGGGCGTAACTGTTGGCCAGCTTGTCGTACACTCTGTTCATCACCGAACCTTGAGGGACGTTCCAGCTCTGCTTAGCCTTATCGGCATCCTCAACGATCTTTCGGTGCGGCTCGGGCTCGGTTAGATTTTTACTGTAATGCGATAATCCAAATTGAGCAATTTGCGTGGGATAGTAGTACCCCTGGCTCTCCCATTGCGTCGATATCGGCACGCCGTCGGTGCCGCTGATGCACTTGACTCTATCCCTGACTTCGACGTTGTAATTTTCAAAGGTCATAAACACACCACGGGGATCGTACTTTCCCTTGGGGTTCACGATCTTCGAGTAACTGTGCAGCCATTCGAATCTCTCCAGACCGTCGTAAGTAGCTAGTTTCCCATAAATCTAAAATATTTTGTACACACAAGTTACCGCAATGCAGAAACGTAGTATAATCTAACGCTAACAATCTACAGTTCAACTGACCTCAAAGTATTTATGGATGAATGAAAATGGTATATACACTTCGTCGCCCTCTTTGCGACATCCTATGGAGTAATCGCCGTTTATATGACAATCTATCTCTTGGTATCCCGATTCTGTGTTTAAACGATCCTGCATCGAAACATATAACATGTAAGAGCATGTCCTATCTCGAAGTAATATTAACACGCTTCTAAAATCCGTTCGCTATCGCTAATATTACGTAAGTTCTAAATCTGTCTTGCCTTGTGATACTTCGTCTTCCAGTCCGTATGAAACAACAGGCTTCCACAATTATTCCACGACGCAAGTAGAAAGCTCAGTGTTGCGACAACCAGTACGAGCAAGGTTGTCTTGAAGTTCAGTCGCATCATCATATAAAACCTGTCGATATTAATAACATACCTCAGCACGCTCCGTATAAACAATTACTATGCATCATGTATATTCTAATTGAATCTCAAAAACGACAACGGATGTGATAGATTGATAAGCTATTGACAGAAGTGTCGAGAAAATTAATTATTATAACTATGCGATTATCCAGATCGTCAGATAAATTTCTTACGCGACACGGATGTCACGAGCGGCTCGTCATCTTATAATTTCATCTCCAAAGAGCCTTCAAGATCTGAGCCGTCCCATCCCTCCTGGAGATCGTTTCCCCGGGCATGTCGATATCAATCAGCTATCGTCTACCGACGGTGAGACTTGAGACGCGTGAACATCCTCTCGGATGTCCAACAGGCTCGTACGGAGCGTCGGGTCGCCGTCAGTGCGTCGAGCCTCTCGGTGGCTAAGCCACCTGCCTGGGGGTGCACCTCCGAAGCGCGGCGTGTGACGCATGGAAACATTTCCTCGCGGCCGTCATCGCCGCATGGAAACCGGAATTGCTGCAAGATCAGCAGCTACCCATACTTGTTGCGACGATGGCGGGCGACCGAAACTTCAACTGCACACATGATACACATATGAAAGGATCATCATTGTAAACATGACATATACTTAATACATGAAGGAGAAACGTTGGATGTATTTCTGCTAAATCTGACGATAAATGAGCGTTTCAGAAGGCAAATCAATCAACTCCATGAGACAAAGAGCAGGGAGAATTAAAGAAATTATGAACTAGCTGGTGGTTTGATATTTTTTTGGAAAATTCAGAAATTTACAGAAAGTAGAGTCGATTGATCTGCGGCATTCCTATGGTTTCTGAGAAGCTCACAGAACGACCTGTGTTTCTGCGACCTTGGCCAAACTCCAATTTAATAAATCAGCGATAAATTGAACCAGATTTGTTCAAGGCAAAAGTTATAACTATGTATATGATTATAGTTATCTAATCTTACTGTCTGTGTGTTGAACAAAATATTAATCCTAATTCGCGTGTTAACAAAATAGTGCAGGTACTGGCGAGTAAATTGAACTAATTGGAATTAAATTACCGCTCACACACATTAATCGGAATTTGGTCGGAAGCTACCATAAGGTCTCACGGATCCTCGGCGTTTCCGCGAAGCTTCCCCGGACGGGAACCGTTCTTGCTCGAATGGCGAATCGGTGATTACCGGCGATCCGACGAAGATGCTTCATGCAGATTCATCTGAAAAAATCTTCGCACGCCATGCAAAGCGCAGTTACATCGTCGTTCCCCTCCTCGCCCGGTTGTCGCAAGTGCCCGTCCCACCGTTCCTAACCCGGGACGGTTAAACAGTGCAAGTTGCCACGATCCACGACTGCCACGACGGTTTGTGGTTACAACACTCGCAACATATGATCGCGGCGGCGGATTCCGAACAAGTGGCGTACTCTCGGGACGCGGTCGTGCGCTTGCGCGAGAGCCGACAGCTGACGCATCACGCACATGCTTCTCTCGAGACGCGGCTCGCGGTGTGCCACTGTGCTCCTGTTTTCTTTGACTTTCCCTTCGAGAGAGGCGCACGTGCCCGTAAAACCGTGAATTTGTGCCGTGCAATAAAAATACTTTGAGATTCATTAATCATCATGACTGAAAAGAGGCTCGACGTGATCGCGGGTGCAACGTCTGGCGCTATCAAAGGTAATCCCCATGTGTTTATTTGCAAGTTATGCATATAACTGGCAGTCCCCATTTATAATTTATATTAATATTACACACGTAAAAAATGTAAATTACAGGAATAAGTATCGGAGCGACGAAAACGGAGACTAAAGTAAGAAATTTGCAAAGCATAACCCGGCTCGATGAAAGCGACTGGGTGACCAGGATCGCGTGGGGCGACGACGACGAACGGGAGATTTTGGTCGCCTGCGGCGCAAAGAAAAGCAACGAGAGAAGGTGACGTCCAGTCATTTTTCGCAGCAAATTAAGAGAGCTTTCTTTACTTTCATGTTTCCACGAAGAATAGATACGATTTTGATAAAGTATAATTTCTCACGACAAAATATGATCTCACATATGTTTTCATGAATAAAATATGATTTTTATATGATAAATAATATAATTTGACACGACGGTTGCACGATCAATTTTTTTACAGAGTGAAGATCTTCGACTGGGACAGCACAATACTCACAGATTCTTTTCCTTGCAACACAGGCAACGGAACCGTCACCGGAATATCGCGATACGGCAAGTAAGATCGTCTCGACGCGAAACGACACGCATTTCACGGCGCATCAATGTTGATTGGACCTAATAAAACGGTCTGCGATTTTATTATTTAGATACATTTTGACGTCGGTCGAATCCGGGGAGGTATGCACGTGGTCCGCTGGAAAAGGAGAGGTATTGCTGAACGCCGGATGTAACCTGAACAGAATGTGCCATTCGCGTGATCAGAGGAATACGATAGCGACCGGAGGAGACCTGGAGAACAAGCTGAAGATGTACGATTTGGAGACGCAGAAGGAAATATTCCAGGCGAAGAATCTTCCGAACGACTGGCTGAACCTAAGAACATCTGTTTCGATAGTAGATCTATGTTTCTTGCCGGGAGGTCATCAGCTGGTCACAGTCGGTAAATATGGGCAGGTGAGGAACACTTTCTTTTTTTTTTGTCAAGTTAATCCTATATACATAATTTACAATCGTAAAATCGTTATTATTGACGCATATATAATTTTACAGATATTTCTGTACGATCGACGTCGCCAAAGACGTCCTGTGATAAACTTAACGGTGAAAGATGAAGCCTGGACCTGCGTAGCTGTCGCGCCCAAAGAAAAGTAAGATTTGTGCATAAAATCGTTAGGACACTTGAAAGCATCATTTAAAGATAACTATACAAAAAAAAATCGGTCACATTGTTAATTCATCGTATCTCCCAAAGTCACGTCATAGCGGGCTCGACCAAGGGCAAGCTGAACCTCGTCGATCTGAGAAAGTCGGGCACCGTGCTGAACACGTACAAAGGATTTACCGGTGGCGTGACCGGGGTGGCTTGCACCATCAAACCGTACGTCGCGAGTGTCGGCCTCGATAGATACCTGCGGATACACGATATCGATACGAAAAAACTTCTCAAAAGCGTAAGTCCTGTGCTTTACATAGTTTCCTCGAAATACCACGGCGTTTCAAAGCAAATATGTCTGATTGGTATATATCATTTTATGTTGCAGATTTATTTAACGTCGAAATTATCGTGTTTAATAATGAGGTCGGATGTCACTTTAGAAATGAAATCCGAGGACGACACAGAAGATATTTATAGCTAACGTAAAGTTTTATATGAACAAAAAATTTTTAAAGCAATTTTTTGTGTGTTGCAAAGATTTTCTTTAATTCCCTCATTTCCACGTCTCTTCTGTATTACGAATTATGCAATTTTTTGTTGTTGAGATGCATCAATTCTCTGCTCTGATAGGCTGTTCTCAACAAAAGCTTGCGAGAGCTGAAAAAAAAGATTATGGCGCGTTAAGTATCTAAAGGTCTAAAAAAGACATCGAAGATATAAAAAAGAGCGCCAAGTATACTTTTCACCTTTAATAATGTTTCTACGTAGAATCTCTGTTAATATTTCTTACGTGAAAGTTCCGAAAACAATTAATAAAATACATTTCTGCGCAAAAGCTTAACACATTAAATTATGGACAGACAGCATTTTTTAATCTAGCACTAAAAAAAATGACATTTAAAACGACGGAAATTTAGGCGATCATTAAACAAGACATTTCTATCACAGTATAATGTTTCTTTTACTCGGCAAGCTGTTTTCTCGTTTTAAATATCGAAAAAGGAACAACAAAGGTTGAACAGGGAGCAGGGGGGGAGGGGGAGTAGTTACGCTAACGTCGCTTTTTTTCTGTTATGACTACGCGTAATGCACAAGCATTTATATTATTTATTGTACAGTTTATTTATCATTAAATACCGCATCTCGATAGAGCTTGTATTTTGGTTCTTGGATGCAGCGCGCACAGAATTCAATCGCTTATTTCCCTCGCTCTCACACAAACATCACACGCACGCACGCACGCATACACACACACCCGCTCTCACTCGTCCCTCTAATATTATGTAGAATGAAGAGAAGCTAAATATATTCCTCGACAATTTCTACTGTGCTCTCAACAAGTAACAAGTTATGTCGAAGCCAGGTGCGCGGTACACGCTGCCGGTATGTTACAGCGTAATCTTTTTTAGTATCTTTTAAGTAGAAGATGAACGCGCGGCAACTCTCTCACAACGATTGCAACGCATTTTGTACTAAAAAAAAAGAAAAAAGAAAAAACGAAACAACGCGCTCACGCGCCTACAGCACATTAAATAGTACTGTTCAGCTGTACAAAAATCTTCGTTTCACACTACGCCTCCCGTAAGAATTAATACTAATGTTTAGCTTTTTTTTTGTCTTAACCCGACACTGCGCTTACATCTCAGATAGTATATATATTTATTTATATATACGTGTATTCCAATTGAACGTGTCTCTAGGAATACATTCGCTACATTTACAGGCACTATTCCCTTCAAAATCGAGTATAATTACCGTCACCTGCGTTTCTATGTATGAAAAAGAAAAAAAAAAAGAGAGATTAAGATCCGCGTCAAACGTGTTTCGAATTTACATGCTCCAACCAATATTCCAACTAAAGGACATTTTATATTACTCCAGGACTTTTCTGGCCGATACTCGCCTTCGCAACGAAGTTATGCAGAACTGCATGCTTTGGAAAAATATCTCGCTTAATGAGTCGTATCCCTATACAGGAATGTTTCTCTTGATTCATTAAAGAACTCGTTCTTTAGAGTGCAAAACGACATTATACAAATTCCCCTGAAACTCCGTCATATTATAATTTGCATTCTTCTCTCACGAATGACGCGAGTAGTAATTACAATTGGATTTATACAAAAGCTCGTTTCACTTGCTATCTCTATATACTCGGAGAATTCGACATATCTGCCAATTTATTATTCTAAAGTAAAATTAATGCCAAACGTGCTGTTGGATGGAAAGCAATAGATCGAAGAATGTATGTTTTCATTCATAAGTCGTGTAAGTCATCAGTATTCTTAATTAAGACGGCTCGCGATACAATTATAAAATCTTATTTCGGTATCGATGGCTGCTATATATCAGTCCGCGTATCGTCAGCAATTATACAATATGTAGAATTTGGTCAAGTATCACATTAAAACTCGAGTATTTTTATCCGATTTATCGAATAAATCTTAATAAACGAGTGTATCACGTCTCGACTCTTTCAATTTTAACTTGTCATTTATGGACACAAGTGCATAAAAATTTCGTGTGAACTAAGAATTAGTTCATACAATTCCATCATATCTATTTCTCGTAAATATTCAAGAGAAACTATATAGTCGTATCGTAATAGAAAATTATTTTAGTGGATCACTTCAGTTTTGGGGAAATATAATCCTGTCTTATTGTTTCGATAGAGAGTTCTGTGTAGCTTACGATTTCTTTAGTATAAAAGCCAAAGAAAGGTTTTGCAGCTTTTGTACAGAGCGGTCGCTTTATACTCCCCGACGTTTGCGTGACTCTGGCAAATACGTACATTAAAAATGAAACGTTGAAACAGAGGACAAAAGAGAGAGGCAATCTTTCGAGATGTTACAGATATAATCCGAAACATAAATTTGTAATCTGTGCTTTAACAATACGTGTTAATAATATACAGCTTTGACATACTCGACGACTTCTACACAATCAATAGAAATAATGTCTGAGAACTTAAAAGGACCATGTCCATTCCGTGTAGAGCGGCGTGTTAAAATGCATCTACTTATTATGCAAGATCAGTAATTAAGATTTGGGGG